GTTGGGATTATTTGGTTGGAAGCGATCTGGTGGGAGCAGTTTACTTGGACGATGATGACCTGGGAGCACTACTGGATGCTGTTGATTCCTTCTGGATGGCCCATGTCCTGTTTATTGGCTGGTTTTTGGTGTGCTGTGGCAACCGGGGCTGTTGCCTTAATGCTGATTCTTTGCCCTTGGATGGCCCAGTGCAGGTGTTTTGGGTTGGATTTTTGTCAGGCTGTGGCAACCGAGGAAGTGGCCGCTTCTCAAATTTCTTCAGCAGCCTTTACTGATTTCGGATACATTTTTGCAGTGTTCCCTATTTTGCCTGAGTCCTATTTGTAAACTGCTTTTATTAGGTGTTGTTGTTTCCGGTTTTGGAGTTTACACGGGGTTTTTGTTCCTGGGGTAAACTCTTTTTTTTCAATTTTCTTTGTTTCTTGTAATTGTTTTTTATTTTAATACATGAGCCAAGGCTCCTAAATTTCCCAAAAAAAAAAATTAAAGAAAAAAAGTTCCATAAAAGGATTAGATATTTAAAATACAAAAATGTTCTCCAGAGAAAGATAAATTCTTAGGTTCGGACACCGGATAGAGAGAATCATCCGGATTTCTTTCTGTCTACAATAAAAATGCAATCAAAGCACAGTTACTCTAACAGTTGTGCTTTGACTGCGCTTTTACTGTAGACAGAGAGAAATCCGGATGATTCTCCATGTCTGGTGTCCGCATCTAATAATTTGCCTTAGAGAAAATATTGAGACATTTAAAACTTATGAATGAATGTATACAAATTTGAGTCACATACTCTTAATCTACTTATGAATGCTTTTATATATATGAATAGATTGATAGACAAAATGGATTATAGCACATTGGATTATTCTACTTTATCAAAGAATCATCCTAATTTGAATATTTTTACTATCCCTTTGAAAAAATTAAATCATTGTAGTACTGAACAATTAGTTAAGAAGAAAATCCTAATTAGGGCATCCTTTGATAATTGAGTTTGATTAAACTAATCGTACTGAATGATCCTAATTGTATAGGACGATCAAGTATAATCACAATATTCAACTGCCAATAGCAATTTAGGTAATATTTTAATATTTAAATTTTGTGCTAATTGTATAGGACGATATAGATCGTACAGGACGATTTGTGACAATCATGCATAAATTGATTCTGTGATTAGGAGACTAATTATAGTTTAACTACCCAATCACATCTTACATGACAATCGTACTATATGACCCAAGAGATGCATGGGACGATGTTTAATCGTCGCTTGTCGTACTGGATAATCAATACAGTCTCTTGAACTAATCGTGCAGGACGATCGCAGGATCATACGGGACAATTAGTACAATCTCTAGAACTGATCATACAGAAAAATATAGTTCATAATGTATGAAAGTGTTATTTTCTACTATCGTACAAGACGATCTCACGATCATACGGGACGATCCTTGACAGCATATTAAAAATTTGGGCTTCTTTGGAGGCTTTCTATTTAAACTCTTACATTGTATTGTAAGACATCTTTTTTGCTGCTGAGTTTGCTTGAGAGGGAGTTTAGATAGAGAGAGTTGAGGAGAGATTTGGGAGAGAAGAGAGGGAGAGTTCTTGTGAGGAAGAGTTGTGAGAGCTTCCCAAGGTTATTCTAAGCAAAGTTCCTTTCAATCTTCTTCAAATCTCTGCTTTGATTCTTGGCTAGCTCTGGGGAGACATTCTTCAGCAATAGATCTTGGTTCTCTGCCAAATCAAGGAGGGAGTAAAAGGATTTTTAGTTCTCTTCCATCTCCAGGAGTAAGAAAAAGAATTTCAGGTTCTCTACCTTCACCAGGAAAGTGAAAAAGATTTAAGATACTCTACTGCACCGGGTTGGTGAAAGAAATTTTGTAAGAGCTTCTCCGCCTAAAGGTAAGACATTAAAAGGTTTAGTGCAATACCTGGAGCGGAGATCTCCGGGGAGTGAACGTAGGTCAGTTTTGACCGAACCACTATAAAATCTTATGTGTTTGTTATGTTACTTTCTCGCACTTTAATTTTCGCACTTTTCTGTGATTTACTGTGGTTGAAAACTCTTGTTTTGGTATTGTGAAATTATTCTCTTCCACTTCTGTTGTTGAAATTGTCTAATTTTAGTGTTTGAAAAAGTATAAAAAGAGTTTTTTTTTAATTAATTACCAATTCACACCCTCCTCTTGGTTAACCTCGGACTGGTTCTTAGAGGTTTAACAACATTAATGAACTTTCACTTTTAGTGCATTTGCACAATATTGTTATGTTTTTAAAAGAAATTGCACACTTCTCATAGTAGAAAAAATTTTAGTACATTTTACTTTCAGCCTATGCAACATTTTGATATTTAGAATCGAGCATTGATATATTAATTAGAGAACATGTTGTGAGTCTAACTTTGGCACTCCTACACACTTTTTGTTACACGTACATGACATACTTGTACATTTCTAAGTACATTTGCATCACAATTGCACAAACTTTTGTGTGGTTCCAAAGCGCTAGCATGGTTCTAGGTGCACGAGTGTGATATACTTATACACTTTATGAGATGTTGCACTTAAGTTTGCAAGCTATGTTATGATGTATGCAGTATTTGAAAATATTTAGTTTTACTTATAATGAATGGAATGTTTCATTTGGAATTCTTAAATTACAGAATGTCCACTTACATGTTTGTGTTGCAAATTCAATGATGTTTAAGGTGAGTTAGAATATTGTCACACTTTTCAAAATATCATATTTTTCTATCTTTGAATGAATGTATTTTAACGCGGTGAGCATCACACAGGAATCAAATTTATTGTTACAAATAGGGGGCATGGTAATTTATTTTTCTACTCTAGCATTCTTTACTTGCTTACGAGCAATCAATGGTGTTCTGAGTGTGTATGGGAGTTCGTCTTGTCCGCGCTCTTGCCAGTGCATGGTTGTTCAAGTTCCTTGCAAATTTATTGCAAGTCACCTATGTACAACTTATTTGTTTAGCCTTATTTTTAATTGCTATTTTTTTCATCATTTTTATCAATTTAAATTTTATTTTTAACTCAGTTTCATTTGAATAATCCGTTTCTCTCCAAATGTCCTCTTCATGTCATTTTTTTAAGTCCTTATTCACCAAAAATTTTGGTAGCTTTGCAACATCTCTCTGCAAAGGAGGCATCTATGAGGAGTGTTAGGCCTTCCCACCAGCTTAAAAAGGTGTTCCTAGTTGGTTTCAGGAGACATAGCGGTTGGAAGGTCTTCATACCCACCCCGTTTAGAAAAAGACATGCATAGAGTTAGAGATAAAAAACATTTACTTGAGATCCTTCACAGCCACATTTTTCACAGTGAAGCCAACATTATCTCTAGGGGAACTCTTGAAGAGCATCAAGAAGAGTTGTACCCTTGCACCAATCAAGATTAGCAGACCTCTTAAATATGTTGTCACCTTCAAAACAAGAGATGGGTATAAAGGGTACCTTTTTTGGGATGTAACCATCTTTCTTTCAAAATGAAGATACCTTCTTGACAATTTCATCAAAAGCTTGGAGTGCTTGGGAGTGGTGACATCCATCTTATTGCAGAAGCAAATAATCTATTTGACATCATGTACAAAGGCAAGACAAGGTCACGTGGCTCTCCATTCTTTGAGATATTTACATCAAAATCACCAAGTCTAGAATCTATGATGAGGACAACATAGTCTGCCTGAGAGGCGCTAGTGATCATATTTTCAATAAAGTTATGGAGCCCAGGAGCATCAGTGATAGTGCAATAATAAAAAAGCAATGTCAATTATGCTGCCACACTCACATCCAGCCTTCTCTTATCAATAACCAAGCATACATCAATAACTTATTGTTCATCTCTGCCGCTTCCTTCTAAAATCTGTATATCACAAAATTTTCAATTCTACCAAGTTTGAGGATGAGATGCCCAGTAGTTATTGATCTACCAAAGTCCACATATCCAATGACCATAACATTGAGATGAACCTTCTACATACCCATGGCAACTTATAAAGCAAGAGAAACTGAAGAAAGACAGCTGCAATGGAGTGCAGCCAAGGGTGCTAGAGAAGGGGGTTACCGGCGATGGATGTAGCAAAAAGGTTGGAGTCGTGGGCGTACCAGAGTGGAGAGGAAGGCTGAAGAGCAACAAAGGGAGTTAGAGAAGGGTTTTCACCGGAGATGTTAGAAGGATGACCGAGCTACTTTGGCAATGATCAAAGAAAACAGACTGTGGAGTTGTTGTCTGTTTGCGTAGAGGTGTATAGATAAGGGAGATGCGAGATGGAGGAGGATGCGATGTGTGCAAAGGATAGAGAGGGGTTGAGAGTTCATTGGTTTAGGTAGATTGATGCGTGGAGTGGAAGAAGGGATTAGGAGAGGAACGTGCAATCTTTATGCAGTAGTTTTATTCATATTTTCGTTTGGGTTTGGGTAGATTTATTTTCAAAATTGTTGTTTCATTTTCTCTTTCAATTATTGTTTCTATTGATGCACTATTATTATGCATCTCCAATTGGTCATTATTAGATATTATATTTATAATTTATATATGAATTTTCTCATCTTAGTACAAAAAAGACTTTATAGCTATTCATCATGTCCCCTGTTGTCAGCCTATACCGCCTTCTAAATTTGGGGTATGACAGAAAAATCTAATTGTTCTTTCTTGACACAAGGCAATGGATATGGTAGTTTGATGACTGTAGAGCTGTCTATTAACCTAGAAGTAGTTTGATGATTGTAGAGCTATCTATCAACTTGGTAAAATTGTTTTTCTATAGATGCATCAGCATCAAAACAACTTGGAAGGATGAATGCATTAATCCATATAAAAAGAAAGCAAGCACATCATACTATCACATATGCATTCATTTTAAAGGTGGTTATTGAGAGAAATCATATAACATTTTTTTTCGTAAAACATTTAAATAGAAACAGCAACGAGGAAATCAGCAAATTCTTGAACAAAAAATTGACGAACCAGAATGAACTCACAATTTGCTGCAAGGATGTTGAAAGCACTGCTATGCAAGCACAAAGGAAACCTCTACCATTAACTTTGACATCTGTTACTGTACAAACTCCAACACCCAAAACAACCACAACAACAGCCATCTTCACCTCTTTGGAATAGTGCTTGTTATGAAGAATCCATTCCATCACACAGACAACAGGAATCATACTAAGCTTTGATATCTACACCACCACGTGTGAGAATTGTTATATTAGCGCTATACGATTTTGAATAGTTATAAAGTAGCTGAAATCAAGTTAATTAGCACCTGGTAAAAGCCAACAGAGTTGAGCATAAGGCTCAGGTTCATCCCTGTAATAGATGTGTTGGCAACAATGGAAAACCAGAGAAGTTCCCATAAAGGAACATGCTTTGATGCAGAATATCCGGAGGCATTGGAAATGAAACCAACAAATGCAGTCACAGTAAAGTGCAAGCCAGTTAAAGTAGTCGCTGTGAGCAAATAACAGGGAGTTAACATTAACAAAGAGTTAAAGGAAAGCATAACGGTGCATGGGGAATGAAATGTTGTTTTAAAATAATAATCCATGCGAGTGAAACAACAATTGAACCATGACATCAAGCACCATTTTCCTAACAAGTAAGAAGCTGAACAACGTTCGATATTCGTTAGAAGGGATACTACGGCGGTGTCCTAATCAATTCGAGAAGTAGAGGACAACCCTAGATGCGAAGGAAGAAAAGAATAGGTGGGATCTCCAATAGAGTACAAAAGATCCCTGAAAGAGGAGCAAGGATTCAGAAACTCAAAAAATATTTTGGATTCTGGGAATTTAACTCAAATAAATGAGGGGCTCAAAACAACAACCAAACGCTACAGTTCATAATTTACAATTTTTTTCGCACTTCTATTTCCTTTGCTTTGACACAATCAAACGCAGAGTGAAAATCAGAAATTTTGGAAATATAAGCAGGTGAAGAAAGTTGGCAACCAAGGATGAAACAGCAGAACTAATTACAAATCTGACTTTTTTCTCAGAATAATCGACCGCGTGCTAGGAGAGTGAGAAGGAGACAGAAAGATCAGCTGGAAATTGCAAGTATGAGTACTAACCAAACGTGAACGCGAAACCTGCACGGGACATAAGCTGCTTGTTAACCATGATGATGCCGACGGAACTAATGACGTTCATGGCCCACGCACCTACATCCGTCACTGCCGATTTCTTATCATTATGCTGCTGCACCCCTTCCATCCCTAGCTTCCTCCTCTCCGCTAACAAAGTTCAGCCCTCCACCGGAAATAATAGCTGCAACGCCGGCTCAGTTGATGCTGCCGGAGGCAGAGGTTTGGAGAAAAGGGAAAAGGTAAAGAAGGGCTCGTGGCTGAAAAAAAGTAGGGCAAGTGTTTATCAATGTTGCATTCATTGTATTGATTCCTCAATTCATTCTTAGCTGATCATGGTGGACAATAATTGGATATTATCCCCTTCCTCCGCTCTCTTCTACTGTCTCCCACTTTAAACCTAAGAAGCCGAGCGGAGGGATTCTGGAACAGACATGCAGGACAACGATTGCCGAAGCAGAAAATATCTAGGACGGTCTAGGGGAAAAGCTCCTTCGAATTCACCATGCTCCTTTATCCTTTGTCTTCGCCGTTACTGAACATTCATTGTTCATCAACTGAAGCGAATTAGAGATGGGAGAAATGCTAGAGAGAAGACGAAGATGGCAACGGCCGCCTGACGGCTTCCCATGAACCTTTAAAATTAAGTCAGTTTGATCTGTTGTTTTTCTCGCTGACAATCGGTCCCGACTCCCCGTTTTCAATCCGATCTTCGGCCAATTAAACTTTAAAAGTCATTTAATTTGATTTAAATTAGAACTATTAGCTTCATTTCAACTTAATTTAAGCTACAATTAATTTGATTTCAATCAATTATTATATACAAAATCTTCCGCCAATTCAACTTAAAAATCATTTAATTTGATTAAAATTAGAGCTATTAGCTTCATTTCAACATAAGTTAAGCTACAATTAATTTGATTTTGATCACTTATTATGTACAAGACTGATACATCATCAAAAAATTATTTTGATCGGTCACGAATCTCAAGGTAAAAATCATGTTGGAAGCTTTAAAATTAAATCCATAACCATCTGAACTCCGATTTCAGCAAACTTATAGTCGAACTGAACGTCTCGGAAATACGAACCCAACGCCACTAAATTCAACTCAATCCGAGCCCAAATGTGTTTGAATAGAAGACCCGAAGCACTGTTGTTCAAACCACAATTTTTATTGTCAAACGGTTTCCAAACATGACATGCTTATAATCAAATCGAGCGGCTCAACGAGACAAATCCAATGAGCCCAAGATCGCCAAATTCCAATATCATTAAGACCTTTAAATGTCTGACGAACGGTCCACGATCAAGGGATTAAATATTGGTCTTCCATCCAAACCACTCCCCATTTTCCCTTGATCCTCCTCCTATTTACAAGTTATGTCATTCTCAAAAAATTATAAATAGCTCCTCATTTCTCTTAAGAGGGGACCCAAGTAAGAAGGAAGAAGAAGAGAAGATAAGAATAGAAGGAGGGAAGAAGCTCCTCCTGGACCACCGCTAGATTTTCGTCCGATTTTCAAGTGATGCTAAAGTTCCGCCCAACTTTCAAGTGACGCCGAAACTCCGCCCGATCTCCAAGTGACATTTTAATTCTATCCAATCTATAAGTGACTCTGGAGATTTGCTCGAATACCATCTAATTTTCCACTGTCGCCGACTGAAGTCGGACTTCTACCCAACGTCCGACCTCTGCTCGTCGTCAGATTTCTATCCAACGATGGACTTCTGTCTGTTGTCGGACTTTCGCTGGACATCTATCTGATGCTGGATTTTTGTACAATTTTGGACTTCTACCTAACGTCATACTTCTGACCTTTGTAGTCAAACAACGGTCCTTCCAATTTACATTGCCCGTCGACTACGGTGCTTCCGACCAAACAAACATGCCAACATTGACTCTTTGTATTCTCATCATATACTTCTTATAATGTACATCAAGCCAAGGCATTCCCCCTAAAGAAGAGCCTCATTTGTAATCGACTGCAAATAATAGTAAATTCATTCAAATTGGGCTAGGCCCCTTGGTTTTTCCCCCTTTTAAGGGGTTTTCCATATAAAAATCGTGGTGTCTCATAAATATTACACTCTCTCTCTTATCTGATTGCATGCAGAATCTTCGTACAATGCTAAAACATTAAATTATATATTTCTCTACCACCGCGAATATTCTAGGACGCAATAATTTGGTGCCGTCCGTGGGAACATCGTTCCTCACTGGTGGGCAACTATTGCTCTAATCTCAAAAGTGGTTTATGTTAATATATTGACATTTTCCAATTCTCCCTCAAATTCATGAAAATAAGATATTGACTGTGGGGTAACCTTGACTGCAGCAGCATTCAACAAAAGTCCTCCTATGTTTCCAACATTCAATATGATATTTTAGAAAAATATTTTCATAAAGTTTCTAGCAAATGCAAATATTTCAAGCTTTATAAAATCCATGATGGGCTTTCACTCCTTGAGCAAGGTCTTAATATCAACCTCAAAAAGGCAGTAGCGGTCTAAAGATAGACCATTCTTCATCTTTGATTTGGGAGATATATGGCATTCGCTCCCTTCAAATCAAGGAAAATTTTATCCAAGGGGGATTCGATTCGACCTCTTCCACGCAGGTTAATATCATCGAGTAAGGCTCTGACATACACCCTCGAATAGGTCATACAGCCTTGGTCAATTCTCTCGACCTCTTTCACATAGGTTAACATCATCGAGCAAAGGCTCTAACATACAACCTCGGATAGATCATATATCCTAGTTGGATTCTCTCGACCTCTTCCATATAGGTTAACATCATCGAGCAAAGGGTCTGATATAAAACCTCGGATAGGTCTTACATCCATGGTGGATTCTCTCGTCCTCTTCCATATGGGTTAACGTCATCGAGCTAGGTTCTAACATACAACATCGGCTAGGTCATACATCATTGGTGGATTTTCTTGACATTTTTCATATAGGTTAACATCGTTGAGCCGGGCTTTAACATACAACCTCGAATAGGTCTTACATCCTTGGTGGATTCTCTCAACCTCTTTCATATAGGTTAACGTCATCGAGCATGGATTTGACATACAACCTCGAATAAGTCTTATATCCTTGGTGGATTCTCTCGGCCTCTTCCACATAGGTTAACGTCATCGAGCAAGACTCTAACATACAACCTCGTATATGTCATATATTTTTGATGGATTCTCTCGACCTTTTCCATAGAGGTCAACATCATCAAGAAGTGCTTTGATTGAACAATATTCTCTTTATAAATATTCCATAAAAGCAAGTGGTTAATAGATTCACCACTCATATAAAAATTTTTAGCAGGCTAAAAAGCCTCAAAAAAGCATATTATGCAATGTATCAAAGCATGCTGCCTCAAAGTTACAATTATAATTCAGCTTCCTTCAAGGGACAAATTCTCAATTTCATATACAATATCAATGGAGTAACATAAATTCATATTCAGGTGTACATTTATTCTCACAAGAAGTTAAAATTAAAGAGTACATTGGCGTCATCCGTACAAGCTACTATCATCAAGCATTAAGAAAACTTCAAAACAGTCAAATATCCTTGATAAATTTAAGTGACTTCTTATATATTGCATACAAGCATCTCCTATAACATTTTCTTCAAAGAAAAGACATAACCTGATCCTCATCAGGCCTCCACTCAATTAATAGTGTTAGTGTATTGCTAGAATGCTGCTATAGCACACTGCTCCGACCCATTGACTTAGGGATATCTGATGTTGGTACACTTTAGTATGTATGCACATTACCTTATAAAATGTCATTGGACACCCACCATCATCGGCCCTTCATATGATGTCTGTGTTGACCTCATTTTTCTATGAGGTCATTAGGGACCCATCCAGATTCTAGATCAATCATGACCCTACATCAATCTAAACTCCAAATCCTAGGATCTATCCAAACCCTAGGATTCTTCTAGACCAATCTAGAACCTAGGATTCTTCTAGACTACAGGCCTTAGGATCTAACTAGATCCTAGGACTTTTAGATTCCATACCCTGGGCCCTACTCTAGATTCTAGGATTCTTCCATGCACATCTAGACCCTAAGACTTTTCTAGATCCAGACCCTAAGATTTTCTTAAATTCCACAATACTTCCAAACTTTAGATCTTAGAGTCTCTCTAGATTCTAGGACCAATCCAAATCCTAATTCAATTCAAGCCTCAATCAAAATCCAAACTTCAGTCCAGTTCAAATATTCAAACTTCAATTCAAACCTTAATCCTGCCTTTGATCAA